AAAGCTGCACGCTTGCGAAGCCACGTCGTCCCTTTCCTACGTCCGTCAAATCGCGTGTAGATCCTCTGCACAGCCATCCGATCCCCTCGCTCCTTTATGGCTCGCTGTTCCACTTCTGGAACCATCGACGTTGTGGTATCCGCAGTCCCACGAAACTTATCCCTTTCCTCCCTCTCCACCAGTCTCGAGACATAGGCAAAAAAAAAATCCTCCTTCACCACTGCTCCCTGCGGTCCTCCTTGCTTCCCCGTACGTTGCCTCCTCACTGTGCGCACCTGGGCTATAGCCACATTGTAATGCCCCAGGCCCGACACATGGCCCAAGCCCACTCTACCGAGAGGTGGGCCCCACCTATATAGCAACCCGCTTGCGCTTTAATCATCGCTTCGTGCAAAACAGTTAACTGAAGATTACTACGCGTCCTTGACTTGACTATTTAAGTCGGTCTGGCCGTCCCTCGGTTTCCTGCTACTAAACCTTTCGGTGAACAGTATTCCACGATGCTAGTGTCCACGTGTGCAGTACCCGAACTACTGTACCCCGATTGTGGCCCGGCCCAACTCGCCGCTACCGTGCTCGTCACTATTCAGTTCGGCCCAACTCGGCCCATTTAGGCGGGGATGTTACACGCGTCGCCTCGCAACCTCCTCCTCGCATGCCTGCGCAGCAGCTCCATTGGCGGCGGCCATCTCCCTCGCGCGGGCTCCTGACAACTCCTCTCGGCCGGACGACGCTGGCGACGTCGTCGATGAGGACGCCGGCCACCAGCTGCAGTCGCCCCCGTAGCGCCACCAGGACATGGACGACGACGCCTAGGACGATGAGGACGACGACGCCCGCAGCCACGCGCACGCCCGCCACGGCGGATACCACTCCGTAAGCCTGCCCGTCTCCCTCCTCCCTCCTCCCTGCGATTCCGATTCGTCTCGGCTGCTTTGTTGTTCCCCGTCGGACCTGCGGCCTAAGGTTAGGTTTTCGTATTCGTGTAGGATGAAGCTTTCTTTCTTGGGGAGGTATACAGTCCGTGCAGATTTGTTGAAATCCAACTAAAATTTGGAGTCGCGCTTGATTTTTATTTTGAGTTGAGTATGCAGAGAGAGGTTGATGAATCGAATTTTCATTCGCAAAAAAGAGAGAGGTTGATGAATCCATGATTTTTTTTTTTGCCTCATTTTGGCCCCACCAGGTCCACTCCTCTGTACTACGAGAACCAAACATTAGGAGAAGAAAAAAATCGAGTTTCAGGTTCACAAGGTCTAGGCATGTGCTTCATCGCATTTACAAGAGTATATGTTACCAGCATAGTTGCAATGTACTGACCTATGCTCGATCTGTCTGGAGGATTTATCTTATCTAACCATGAATCGTATGACTCTCCACAGCAAAGGTTTATTTTTGTACTTATTCATCTTTTTTTTTTTTGCGAACTCATTTCCTTCCTATGTACTGACATGCAAATATGGTTGTTTAATTGGATTTCTTTCCGCTGTGCTTTTCGACTGATGCTTTACCTCATCAACAGGTCTATTCATCTGCTTAGTTAATCTTGGCCTCAGGATGATAGCAAAATGAACGGCTTCTTTAATGGTGCTGTTGCAGTCTCAACTTCCTCTGGATGCCAACAAGGTACATCATTTCAGTTTGATTTTGTGTGTATGGTCAGATTTAAGCACTAATGTTTTCCTCTCTGCTAGAAACTTTGCCATTCTTATTGCCCAGTGTTGTTATTCTTGATCACATATTGGGATTCTCTAGATATCGCTCCCCTTCTTCTAATTTCTTTCCAATTCATTGCATTTGCCTGACTGCCGTCCTCCATAAATTTATATATGATGTTACAGATGATGTTCAATCTCATTTCGCATGAATCCTGTGTAAAAATTTGAATGTTATACTTCTTCCATGAGTTATTTTACATATGCACATCGAAACCATCATGTACGCCTTTTAAAACATGAGCAACTTGCATTTGCATTCAACCATACTTTTAGGACTCAACTCATTACTTTGCTCATAATAAACAGGTTTATCGGTTATTATCAACCGGAAACCTGTCCACCAGTCACAGATTTCAAGTTTACTAAATAAATCAAAGCTACTTTACACTGCTATTTAATACCACTCCATACAATGTTCATTTTGAGGTGACCCATTAGCAGACATCTTCAAAAGTGTTTTAGTTCATTCTCCAAAATTTCAGAATCCTGAAATCAGTTTCCCAGTGTCACTAGCTCAGATAATTCTGCACTCTTTCTCTCTAAGAATGATATCAGCTGCCAAGATCCTTCTATCATCTGACTCTCGTATAAAAGAGATATTTGTTTTCCAGTGCATACTTCATGCTTCTTCAGATTAATAAGGCTACCACTTGAGACAGCCTAGCAGACCTTTTTTTCAATTTGGGGCTGCTTCATTGGTAACCCAGCTTGGATTACCTGATCATATTTTCCTTTCATATATGTTTGCTCACATTGACAGTTAACTTTTTAGGTGAATTTCCTTCCCTTTCTTTTTTTCAATCACCTTTGCAGCATATTCCTGCTTGGGGATCATTTCCCTATTAAGGCATTTGCTTTGTAGACTTAACATTTATGCTCCCAATTCCTAAGGTTAATTTCTCAGTTTCCAGTTCCCAAATGTGTGCAGGTTCAAACTGATATTGATGGCCTCATGGAAAACACCAGGAAATGATTAGTTGTCCTGTCGTTTGGTCAAATGGCAGCAAAGATACCCACCTACAGTGCCTTCGGATTCTGTTACAACGATGCCAAGAAAAAAACCGCATTTCACTCGGCCAAAAAAAGAAAATACCGTATTTCAGTTTGAATGGCGTAAAAAAATCAAGGAACTATGAAGAAATGAATATCTAGCTTCAGTAACGGCATTGCCATTTAAATCAATGCAGCCAATCACTTCCAACGTTAAAACTTGAGTCTTGATTACTTTATAATTTCTCTTATCAGGACCATTTCACTGTGTGTAGTCCTTACTCTTGCTCTTTATATATTTATCCTTTACACATGAACATGCTGTCTAAAATCATGTTCGGCCCATTGTCAATTCTGCAATACGACCTTTCCTTTTCAACTTCACGTGTTGCGTCCCGCGGCAACGCGCGAGATTCGTGCTAGTTCTCAGTATTATTGCATGTGCTAAGACCGTCTCCAACAGAAACAACCCAAACACGATACCCATTCAATAGTATAGGTCACCTACAGTGAAAATGTCACGGACCCAATCTCTGACTTCTCCAACAGACCCCGAGCAACCACACCGCCGCCCCCCGCTTCCCCCCGTGTCATTTCGTCCCCACCCGCCCTGCCCCCACTAGATCTACTCCGCCGCCTCCGACACCCCCTCCTCGCCTTTCCTCCGCCAGAGCTCATCACGAGCAAGGCCGAAAGCCACAACCGACCCGCCCACCACCACAGACCCTACTGCCATGGCAGGGGGCCCAGATCCCCGCGCCCTCGCCGATCCAGATCCATGGCCCGCCCGCGCTGCGCCGCCTCCTCCTCCCCATCCATCATGCGGCCACGCCGCTAAGCGCCTGGGTTCTACCTCCTGAGAGCTACCTTTACAAGTACACCCCCAACGACTACCTCAACGTGAAGGTGAACTCGCCACCTCCATCGACACCGAGATGCCTTCACCATACTCTGACCTCCCCCTCTGCGAGCCGCAAGAGGGGTCAAGACAACACCTTTTGCAAGTCTGCCACCTCGGCGCGCGCGCGTCGGCCCCAACAATCATGATTGAAGCGGGCGGGAGGTCGTGACGAGATCGACGAGCGCAGGCGGCTAGCGCCAGGTGATTTCCAGCCGGTGAGGCGCTGGGGCTTGAATCGGAGGAAGGAGGAGGCGGCGGCGGTGTGGCGAGAGAAAGAAGGGCGAGGAGAGGCGAAACAGGCGGGAGGAGGAGCCAGTGGAGTGCTTCCATGACTGGCGGCGGGGTGGGGCTGCTGGCTTCTCCTTGGCTTGGGATCTCTCATGGCGGAGGCTGCGGGTGGGCGGAGCTCACGCCAAGCCCTCTCGGCTCCCCTCTTTTGCTTTCAATATATATTTATAGCTTTTGCTTTTGTCGTCGACCACGACTCACTTCAACTTCACGTGTTGTACCCAAAATAGGTGCTTTGGATGCATCCTTTGTTGGAGCGTATTCTTTGGACGCAAAACACAGTGCACGACATATTTTACGTTTGGGTCGCCCTTTGCCTTCACTGTTGGAGACGATCTAAGGCCCCGTTTGGCGAGCTTCACTTCACTAGTGAAGCTATTATTTTAGGCCCGGCTTTCCACGAGCATTCCAATTGGTGGAGCCAAAGCGGTTTTCATCTCGTTTGGTAAAATGACTCCTTGTGAGATGCATGTTTTTAGGGCCCGAGGAGGAGCAGAGAAGCCACTTTTTTTAGCTCCATCCCATCCCAAATCATTGTGAGAGCATTGTTTTAGAGCTTCACCATTTCACAGTGGTGAAGCTATTTCACTTTACCTCGCTTTTGACTAAAACAGCTCCAAACGACTCGTTTGACGTTGGTGTGGGGAAGCTGAAACTGGTGGAGAAACCCTACCAAACGGGGCCTAAGTCACCTACACATAGATTCTTTTGTTAGGTTGAAAATTCTGTCGAGAAAAAGAGGTTTGGGCTCGAACGAATGGACACAGGAACCACACCACCCTGTCCTGTCCCCGTTTCACCTCCACGTGGGCCCTACACCGCCCCCGCCCCAGCGCAAGAGCTCGCGGACCCATCGGCACCTGAGCCGTGGGCCTGGCGCGCACGCCTCACGCCGAAGCCTATATAACCCGGCACCTCCTGCCAGCCCCCGGCTTCTCCCCTTCCGCTTCCTCCCTGCGAGATTAGTGCGCGAGCCGCGCGAGAGGAAAAGACTCCTCCTCTCTCCCCTTCGCGAGAGAGAAGGGGGGAAAAGAGAGAAAAAAAAAATCTTAGGGCTTTCTCCTCGATCCTCTCCGCGATTGCCCCACCGATTCGTCAATCCAATGCCGCGCGCCTCAGGGGTCTCGAATCCCCCGGCAGCCGCCGCCACCGCCTCGGCCGCCGCCGCCGCATCCTCCAGGAACGGTAAGGGAGCGGCCCCGTCCCGTGGGGGGGTTTTCGGGTGTTCTTAGCGGGGGTGCTGCTTCATATCGTCTTCAGGCGAATTCCTAGGGTTCCGGGCGGGCGATTCCGTTTTTCGGCGCAATGCGATGTCCTTGGTCATGAAACGGTGGCGGCTTGGCCTGGGTTTGGGGTTTCGTGGGGGATGCGGCCCTGGCTCGGCGTGCCTAGTTGCGCGTGTGGTGTACGGATCGTCGATGAGACCCTTGATCGAATCCCCATGTTGCCTGGATCTGGCTGTGAGAGTACGCGTGGAATTTGTTACCCTGGAACGCACAGCTGAGAGCTGTTTTAGCCCCCCGAATTTTGGCACACCTCTCTTGATGATAGGGGGTTTGTGTTCTTGCTTTGGGTAACACCAGAGGCTCTGTTTTGCACCGGGGTTCTGCAAAGCTGGGCGAGGGTTTCTTGAATTGGACTACCTTGGGATTGAGGAACGCAACAGAAAAGAACTTCCCATTTAGATGGTTAATTCTTTCTTTTGAAAATCCATGAATACCGATTTGTGCCTTTGCAGTTGGATGTGATTTGTACTGTGAGAATGTTTAATGGTTGTAGGATCCTTTATAAGTTATTATTGAACTGTTTCCCCACTTGATTGGTTGGTCTTGTCTAGTATTGTTAGGACCTTCTTGCTTTCCATTTTCTACTAAATCCAAGTGCGCAGGTGAAGAAACGCATTGGTGCTTTAAACGGTTGATTTGTTTCGGATAGGATTGCTTGGCCTGACGTAATGTTAGTCCAGATATTTGGCCTCATACGGAGACTGGAGCCCCCATCAAGTTATCTGGTCTGATATTGAACTTACATATGCTGATTTTCTTTATTTGGCATATCCACATATCCCCAATATGTAACGGTGCGACAATTCCATTAAATATTCTAAGTTGGTTATGTGGTATAGTTTATAGAAACGCACCTTCCGTGTGTGCTTGGATGTTACTCCTGAAAGATACTTAGCTGCTGGACTGTTGATTCATTTAACAAATGTCACAAGATGGAGTTGTACATTTATTTCTTCTGTTCTATGTTCCCTGTCTTGGCAATCTGCATCATACTGCGTGTTGACTGAATTGATATGTAGTGTAGTCTCTTGCTGTAGGTCCATTCTGCATGATTTTAGTAATGCCTCACAGTCTCACACTTCTGTTCATGAAGTAAATATTAGCTAACACTACACCCCCAAAGAATGCTTTCTGCTTAATCTTGTACTCACTTGTTTTTTTTTACTACTTTGCTTTGCATTTTCAGTGAGCAGAAATGCTGGACACTCTGGCCCATCTTGCAGTGCACCTGTGTATCAGTTGTTTCGCCCTGTTACTCGTTCTATGACCTGTGGGTCTGATCCTATCGTGGCTTCACCTGGTTTCAAGGTAGGAGGATCTGCTAGTACAAGCACAAGAAGAAGAACTTCAGATGCTTCTTTTAGCACTCAGTTAGCTGCTTCACGATTGACTGCCACTCATGCCCGGACCCCTCTAAAGTGACTTCATCTGGTTGGAAACCTCTTACTCAACCTGTTGCTCTGAATGAAGAGAGGAAATGTGCAAGCCTTACAATCAACCCTACTGCTAAGCGTTCCAGAGTTGCTTCTTCCCGAGCTGTCAAAGATTCAATCAACCATTCAGCTTCAAAAGCTAACTCAAACGTTGCCAGTGGTGCTTACTTGATGCTTTATCAACATAATTTTACTAGTCATGTTCTGAATCCTAACCCTTGATAACTTCATCTTATTCCAGGCAAGAAGTACAGAGATGAAGAAATTGTGAGCCTGGGCGATCAGTCAGATGGAGCTGTCATGCCATCTCCCACAAAGAAGCTACAAATATGCAAAGGCCTTTCAGATGCACCTTCAATAAGGAAATCAACTATCAGAATCCTGGGTGTTAAGGGAGCTGCTCTACCACCCACAGGGAAATCTCAAATTGAAACTGGGAAAAGCTTTGCTAATGCTCCAGCAGAAGTGATTTCTGCTAGTACAAATGAGATCAGTCAGTCAGATAATGCAGCTGTCCCATCACTTGCACAGCAATTGCAACCTGACACTGCAAAGAACTCCAGTGTCACCATGCATATCCATGAAACAAGTAAAGTCAATCAGTTGGCTGCTACAGTTGCTACATTACCAAGGCCGATCCTTCAAAATGATTACAATAAGAAGCCTTCCTATGTACCAATAATGGCTAACCAGGCCAGTGGGTTGGCTGGTGCGACTGCTCCCTTGATTACACCAAAGTTAGAAATCGGAAACATGAAGGACAGTTCCAATCCTCTCTCAAATCCTGCTTACACAAGGGCGCTTTTAATCAAGCAGCAAGAGCAGCTGCTTCAGCAATTTAAATTGGGTAGTTCACAGCAGCAGCGGCAGGAACAGCAGCTCTACATAAAAGGGCCAGGTAAAGTTCTACCAATTGGAGTATGTTTTTCAATCTTGTTTTCTGTTAAGTTGGTGATTTCCTGTCTCTTGGCCTCTTCGTAACTGCCCCATTGCAATTTCAGCTCTGTTTGAGAATGATGACCCGCCACCGGTTGAGCCGCTGGGAACAAGGTGCCAGCTCTGCAAGCTTGATATTGCTTTCCGGCCACAAGGGGATGCTGGCCGTGATGCCAATGCTCCTCCAGTCGTTGCGGTTCTGGCATGCCACCATGTGTTCCACAGCAGGTGCATTGAATCGGTTTACGGACTCGCTGAGCCCACCGAGTGTCTTGCCTGCCTGGAGCCTGGGGCAGCGCACTGATCACTAACCAGAAATACCAGTTTAGCTTGATTTGAGCTATGGTATAGGATAGAATTTCCTCTTATATTGCATATAGAGAGGGTGAGTATCATCTGCATTGATAGAAGTTTCCGTTGGTATAACGTTGCAGACCAAAAGTCTGAATGCCCCAGTTCTGTGGGCCTTTAGATGGTGTAAGTAGCTACCATTGGAGTTCAATAGGGAGCTGAATCATGGAACTTGCCTGATATATTTCTTCTCCTGTTGTCGTCATAGTTAAAATCTGCAGTCAATGGACAGTGCCATTTTGAATAAATGATGCAATCTGCGCTGGTTGTCTGGTGATTTGTTGTGACTTGTGGCTTTCTGAGTTGCGACCGCACTTTGCGGTTGATTGGTTGGTTGTACCAGCTGGTGGACATCTGGGCTGAAACTGTGGTCTGGGCTTGTGCCGCTAGCCTGCTATAAACCTGGCCTGTGCATAGGAAATAGAACAGGCGCAGCCTGCAGTTAGCAATTGGGCTCAGGTTTGCGCTTAGTGGCACAGCTGTTGATGTCAATGCCTAATCATCATCATTGAAGGAAAAGCGTTGTACCTGAGGGCTGAGGCCGATTACATGGTGTTCACATGATCTCTGGCTGCTTTCGCATTCATGCGCTGCATGCAAATGCAGGTGGCACTGTGCCAGTGCAACAGAAATGGACGGACGACTAAGGTGGCGTTTAAATTGGGTGTCACGTTTAGGGGTGTGTTCGGATAGTAATAATAAAATAGATTATAGAAGTTTCTCACTATTCAGTGAGATGAATTTATTAAGTCTAATTAATCCGGCATTAGCACATGTTTACTGTAACTTTATTGTATCATCACATTATCAAATCATGGACTAATTAGGTTTAAAAATTTTGTCTCGTAAATTAATCGTAATCTATGTAATTAGTTATTTTTAGTCTATATTTAATACTTTATGCGGACTAAATTTTAGGACGATGAACTAAACAAGACCTTAAAAAAGAAATAAAAATGGGCGGACGAAGCCGGAAGGCAATGGTTGGCGTGCTGCGGGACTCTGCCTCTAATTTCTAGCTGTATACAGTGCGATTTTGGTTAGTCGATTGTTCCTTTCTTTCTTGGCGTTTAATTAGGCTTTTGTTCCTTTCTTTCTTGGCGTTTAATTAGTCTCTGTTTGGATTCCCATGGTCTAAAACACCTCACAAAAGCTTTAGACCACACTAGTGAATGGTCTGAAATTCTAGTCATCAACTTTAGCTACTAAATTTTAGATCAGAGAATCCAAACAGGCTATGAATCTGTGGCCGATTTTGCGTTGCTGTCTTAAGCCATTGCAATCGGTTCAACAATAATATTCAAATGAAGGTTATTTCAACGAGTCTGCTGCCAAACCAAGTTTGTAAATTAACCTGACAAATGGAGCTTAGCACTGACTGACTGACTGGTTCTGATGTGGGCAACAATACTGGCGTGTGTGGCAGCTGGCCACAGAGGATCCGCGTCTCCGCGAACATGGCTACGGGAGAAGTGGTTGTTGCTGGCGGGTAATGCATGCCCCGCCCCCGATCCGTCAACCGACGGGAGAAGTACGCCGTTTCCGCCATCGTTACGTCCCTCAGAAGCAAAAACCAAGCCAACGACGACCAGGACGACACGGCCAAGAAACGGGAGTGTCTTCCAAGGCGACCGCCCCCTCTCGCGCTCCAAAACAGCACACATCCATCCGTCAGCCCAGAGCCACGAGATAACGCAACCAACAAGACACAGCGAGCGAGCGAGCGAGCGAGCGAGAGGGCGGGGAGAAAAGAGTAGAGCGCGCGGCGCGGCAACCAGGTCCAGGAGAAAGGAAGCCCAGCTAGCCTGGAGCCAAGAAGCCGAGGTGAGATTTTGATTGACATGGTTGCTGAGGCCTGGAAGCGAGGAGGAATTCGAGGCGGAAGAAGCAGAGATTTAGCGGCTGAAAGCTGATGGGTGCAATTTGTTTTGTGCTGCTGCTGCAGGGAGCGAGGGAGCAGCCAGGCATGGAGGAGCCCGTTCCGGCTGAACCCCCCAGGATTTTCTGGAAGTCAAGGAGATCAGGTGCCTGCTGTCTCAATTCCTGTTCCTGCATACAAAATCTTGCTGATTTCAAGTGCTTTGTTTTTTGCCCCCAAGAATCGTCTTCTCGTGACTTACCCCTCCTTATCTATTTCTCTGTTCTTGAAAAATGGCTAATTTCAGCTCAGTTCTCTGCAAATTTCTCTGTAATTCTGCCCAAAAGAAAGTAATACAGACATACAGTTCATACAGCAACATAATTAGATTCACACCAACACTATTAATCTCAGCTACTTTGTTTCCCTCCACAAGCACCGGTTTTTTTTTTTCTCGACCAGAACATTTTCCTTTTTGTTCATACAAGTTTTGGTACTGATGCCCGGGAATGTGCCGTTGAGATATTTCGTGTGGGGATGAATGATAGCCAGCTCACTGGTGTGACGTACCGGCAGGCCAGTACTAGTTAACAATTAACATAGCACGTTAATCACGCACCCGTGCTACTTAACTGCTGTTGATAACTAACCGCCCATTTGGTGGTTCACGTGAGCGTAGCTGGTCATTTCAATCCCTTGTCAGCTACAGGTAGAGCAGACGTCTCAGTCTTTGCTTGTCTTCACCGCTAAGATGTAAGATCCCAAGCCTGCGGCTGCCAGTGTGGCGCTTAGTAATAGTGGTCTCAGGAATATGCTTGCAGCCAGAAATCATATTCCTAGACACCCTTTGCAGCAAGAGTAATTTCTGATTTTGCTACCGTGGGATTAGATTTCTGTGTGTTTTCTTGTCTGTTTCTGCCTTTCAATTATTTCCCCCTCTTTGCCGCGGTGAAGACAAGGCCAAAGACTAGTAGTATGCAATCGGTGTAGCGTCCTAGAGTTTCTAGGTATGGCAGCAGACAAGTATGAACAATTCTAACCGAGTAGCCGTCTAGGCATGGTCAAGTATGGAACAAACAGATAAACTACAATCTAGTCGTATATGAGTATATTGTAGCATATGTCCAGACGGCAGTATGGTCGTGTCTCATGTGGGTCAGATTATGTAGCGTCGTGGAATGCTAATCAGGTCAATCTGATGCTACATCTAGTTGATACTGACCAATATGTGACGCTGACAGATTAAAATAAATCTGCCTTGGAAATTACTCTCTGACAGACATAAAAACGATGTCTCAGTCTTCTTTTCAGAGCTTGCCGCATTGTTCATGAATAGATCTTTATGTTGAATACAGTGTGTTATTTCGGTCCCTTGTTACTTTGCTTCTATATGAAGGATGGTACATATACATATAGCATACTTGCAAGACACTGAAGGGATGTAAAGAATTAAAGAAATCCCACAAAAAAATGAAAGCAAGGGCTATAAAAATCTCACTAAGAACTGAATAAAAGCATCCCTTGGCCTCTCCATAAGCTGTTCACATGACAAGCCAAATGCATCCTCACAACTCACTAACTTATTGGTTGTCAAAGTGAATGAACTTCCAACTGATCATATTGTAGAGCCAATGGTCATGTGTGCATTAGATTTTAACTGGGGAAGTGCACTGGCTCTTGATCTGACTAACAATATGTATGTTCCAGCCAATGGCCGGAGCTTGCAACAAGAACCTGACAAAGATGCTACCAAAGAAACTAATGAGCAGGATCAAGAGGAACCCATGAAGACCGACGATGCAACAGATACAACAGCTACAGCTGAGGATGTACAACCAAACCCAAAAGCTAACTTATCTGAGAAGCGGAAGGCTCTCTTTGAGCCTCTCGAGCCGATCAACGGCAAGCGCAGTGCTGAAATGCTGCTTCCACCACCAGACTTTGAGCCCGCATCATATCCAAAGGGATGGCTGGTGGGCAAGAAGCGCAAGCTCGTCAATGTAGATGTTGTGGAGAGCATGAGGAGGATTGCAATCCAAGAAATGAACAGAAAGGTTTATAATCTTTCTAGTGGTCTGATTCTACATACCTGCATGATATCATGCGGCATGCAATGCTATTTTTCTAGTAAATGCATCGATGATCAAGCTGAAAATCCTGAAATGTTAGCTTCTGCTTTTATCTGCGATAAGAGTATCATGCTTGTGTGCCGCCTAAGGTAAACTGTAGGCAATTTTGTTGCTGAATGTGCATCGAAGACTGACAAATGTTATTACTGTGGAAACTGTGTGGCAGGACCGTGAGATCAATGGACTGAACGAGCAGTTAGAGGAAGACTCCCGTGTGCTGGAGCTTCTACAGAAGCAGCTTGCCGATGAGCGCAAGAAGCGGGCAGAGATTGAGAAGGAAAATTCTATGCTTCATGAGCAGGTGACCATGCTGATGAACATGCTGGACGAAAATGAGGGTTTTGATGAGGACGGAGAAGCTCCGCAGCCCGATTCCTTTGATTAAGCATTACATTACTATCCATTTTCCATCAGTATCAAATCATACATCTCTAGGTACCAGTTTCAGAGTATCCAAGAGATATATGCTGTGTAGAATTTCATTTATCATATTGCATTACATGGCTTGTTTTCTGTAGATAAAGGGTGCATGTCTGTTGCACCAACTCCGTTCTAGGCTTCAAATGTATGTGAGAAACTAGAACATATTATATTTGAATCGAAGTGTATGTACATGTTATATGAAATTCTTCCTTGCTATGCAAATTGCAATGTCTTCTCCAACATTCCACATAGCAAAAGTCACAACTATGTCATATATACTACTCGCATGCCTGATAAGATTAGTATACTTGAGGGGCATATCCCTCGTATAGTCATATATGCAAGTAACACAAGCTGAGTATGACGAGAAACAAAAAAAATGATATCTAACAAGGGAGAGAGTACCATTTAAAAGGAAAATGCCATCAAAATGTAAACAAAATGTAGTTCCAACATTGCATGTGGAGTTTCTCGGCGAACAGGCATTTTTGCTGCACCAATCTGCTGAATTATTTACAGGGAAGAAGTAAAACAGAATTCTGGCGTGGCTGATTTATTGCTCATATTCACAATTTGTACAGCTGCTGCTTTAGTTCTAGGAGTAAAGAGTTGATTGCACGATTTATTTATCAGAATTTTCTGCTATGTTGAACAAGAACTGTGGAATAGAAGCTACTGGGGGAAGGTTTAGCAGCAGCTCCCCGAAAGAATCATTTCTGGAAATGGTGAGCGGTTCTTTGGCTCCTGCAAGTGATGAGTTGAGCTCCTCCTCAAAGCCATCAGAATCCACTTGGTTTATGCCTATGTCATCACTGCATTCAGGCTTGCGCATGGTGGCTGGCACCGTGTCTTTCTCAAGCAAAGAGTAAAGGGAGTCAACCCTTGCCATCAAATATTTATCATCCGAGGCTGGCAGACTCTGTGTATCGCTGAAAAGGTATTGAACAAGATCTTCCAACACTTCTTTGGTTTTTCCATCATTAATGGTCAAAGGAGGATCACCTACACTCCTTTGATCAGCTTTGCAGTTACCTAGATGGTTAACCAAATCTTCCACAGATATGGATGCCTTCAATCCAGGCACTTTGAATTGATTCCACTGATTGCAATTCTTTGGTTCCTCAGAAACAGTGCCCTCAAAATCTCCAGCACCAAATCCTGTAAACACCTTGGCATTAGACATGGTTATATCAAAACATCACATATAGAAGCCTTGCAGTCTATACTAAATTGTGTCGCTAGAATTGATTACCTATGTTTATTGGTTGTCCAACATTCTTGGAGAGTGATGAAAAGACACATGTTGAGACGGGATCAGTGAACTTGGGCAAAGTAGCTTCATGTTCATACTTCAAGCCATTGAGATCAAGGCAGTCTTTTGATTCATTTGGATTTTCAAAAATAGATCGCTTAGGTTCAAAACTTGGAGTTTGCAATATGGCATCTGGCTGCTGGCTCAATTCATGTAGACGTTGATCACATTGAATGAGCTTTTCAAAATTCTTGCTTAACAAACTTGAGGGGCACTGCAAGGTATGTCTCCTGCATGCATAATCCTTTTTAGTATGTAGTTCCTTAGGCAGGCAACAAAATAATAGTATATAAATCAACATGTAATAGAAGGTAAGTTACCAAAAACATTCATGAAAATCAAAACAAGCAAATCTAAATAGGAAGCTAATCTATTAGCTGAGTAACTAAAACAATATGCACATAAAAAGTTAAACATGTTTACAAAACAGAGTAGCAGCATAGGTCACAACTCCCCACTAAAAACATTTCTTTATGTAGAACATTGCCTTGCAACATGGAAAATGCATTTTGCACTGGTTCTTCACCTGTTGAAGCTTGCCTGTCCATCAGTAAAATCTGATGCAGGCTGCCATAGTGTATGTTTCCTTGGCTGAGGATCAGTCTCTTTGAAGAAAAGGGGTGGGCGAGCCAACTTCACAAAAGAAAACGGGATGTTGTTAAAGGAACTGATGATGAGATGCAAAGGACTACAACAAAATATGTCATTCTCAGACTCTCAGGAACTTACCACTAGATTTAAGATCCCTTCTTGTTCATTATCTGGGCAGGTTGCCTTCAAAGCAATAATATCTGACCACTGAATTTCTATCTTACTCTTGAGACCATCATGTAGGACCTCCCAAACAAGCTTATGCTTTGCAAAGTAGCACTTTGCGACCAAGTCACCTTCATAGTGTGAAATGTACTGCTCAGAAATATTATTAGTGTTAGGGTAACAGGGTGGGTTGTTCGGAAAAGCTGCAAAATAGTTGCTCAAATATGCAGTCCTCTAGTGTCATATAGTACAATAACAAAATGGAAATCCACATGGTCTTAGAAAAAGAGGAAACTGGAATTTTGTTACCTCCCAACTACCAATTCTCAAAACATTTGCAGGAAAATTTGAAGCTTTCAGTCGTTCCCTAGCTGCAGGAGCCCCAGATCTAACCTCTTTCTTCATGGGTGTATCAGAAACATTGTTGTGCGCATCAAACTGTTCGCTGGCAGATTTTGCCTGAGAAAGCTTCATCTGAATAAGGTCCAGCAGAGATGGACTTTTTCTTAGTCGCAGACCCAATGGGCTAGGTTCATCAAGCACATCACAGGACAGGTCCTGCAACAGGTTATGTTGGAATCAGAGAACGAATTAAAGGGCCTTGTACAGTTGTAGTTTGGATACTAATTGAACAAACCAATAATACTTGAACAGAATATATAATCTATGAGGTGTTTTTGCAAACACCTTAGAACTCTCAAGAACCTATAGCAGACATGAATGGCAAAGGCAGGCATCTGTCCTGAAAAGTTAAATCATGTGCTGTAGATTTGAACAAACTAAAAGGACCTGACAGTCCTGGACAAATTTATCACGCCAAGAATACATTCTCTGGTCCTGAAAAGTTAAATCATGTGCTGTAGATTTGAACAAACTAAAAGGACCTGACAGTCCTGGACAAATTTATCACGCCAAGAATACATTCTCTGATTTTTACAAGGAACCTTTATGTTTTCTAGACTTCCACTCTAGAAGCAGGACAAAGACTAAGCAAGTAAGCAACGGTCAAGATTTCAAGTAGTCAAACCATATATCCACATGAAAGGCTCAAACAAAATTTAACTTGAGATCTCATTTAACTTCGTGTCAGCGAGTCGATGTATCATGAACTGAATAATGCCAATGCAGCATCGAACCAAACACAACAACGTGGCACAACTTCAGCAGATTTTTAGCACGAGAGTGGCAATGAGGCCGTTCAGACTTCACCGCGCCACCTTCTGTCTCGCACGATTATATGATCCGCGCGACACGGGGAAGTGCAGAATCGAAAGCATACTGTAGCCTTCAATCTCAACGCGCGCCGTCGTAAACGGAAGAACCAAAGCCACGCGAGGAAGAAAAAAAAAAAGCCCAATTTACCGATCTACGTGCCTGAGGCGGCGGCGGCGGCAGTGATTTGACGCGTTTGTGCGGAGCACCGCCGCAGCCGAAAACCTCCATCTCCACCTTGACGGTCGCCGCCGTGGCCGGCTCGACGCGCCGCTTCCCGAAGCTCGGAAGCTGCACCATTGGCACCTCGATGATGATGGGCTAATCTGCCAGGCGCGCGAGATCACGTCCAGGAGGCGCGAAGGCGAGAGATGCGGCGGGGGAAGGTTTTGGTTCGGCCGGCAGGCGGGCTGGGTTCGGCTGGCTGGAAGTGCGATTCCCGGACCTGCGGAGTATCGCGGTTGGTTGCTGGTTACCGAGCAGATCCGGCCCCGGCGGTGCGGCCGAAAGCCTGGCACACGCAAGCTTTTTTGTCAAAAAAATGTGATAAGCATATTTTCCCGATTTGATACCTACATTATACACAGAAAACCATCATATAGTCCTTTATCCATATATATAACAGCGGTATATAGAAAGATTTTATTCTGCCATATAGGATATTTGTTCCTAGTCATATGGGTTGCCAATTTAGTTTATAATAAATTGTTATTCACTAGAATACATCGGTTGTCTATTTATTTTTTGTTCTATTTTGTTGGGCTGAGGTCCAATATACATATACTCCCTTCATTCCAAATTATAAAACGGTTGAATTTTCTAGATACATGATTTTTGCTATGGATTTAGACATACATTATGTCTAAATGCATAATAAAAGTAATGTATCTAGAAAACCAAAATGTCTTGTAATTTAGAATAATGGAAGTAGTTTTTAAGGCTTTGTATTGACATGATATAATGCTATTGACGATTTAATAAAAAAGTCTAGGGTTCATTTTTCCTACTCTCGGGAGTAGTTACTCCTATGTTCAATAAACAACGCTGCGTATGTGTACATACTCATTTATCAATTTGAGTATGTTTATATACTCATTTTATGATACTCCAAATCATACTACGCGAAAAAGTTTCAAAAGAACCCATATTTTTTTAATATGTTATTATAATACTATGACAGTAGTATACAAAATAAGTATAACCATATACTCAATGTATACTTACATACTTGATGTATATACTATCATAGATCGTCTAGTATGATCATATACTTCGTCAAGCCATATACACCCTAAATCTAATGATATACACATGGGAAGTAGCTACTCCCTAGGAGTACGAAATAATTTTTAAAAAAATCTATATCTATATCTATACCTACCTAATACTAAAAAGGCTGAGGCTTGTTCGTTTGAACTTATCAACCGGCTTATCAGCTAGAATCTACAGTATTTTTCTCTCACAACAAATCAGCTTCAGCCGACTTATTAGCCGGCTTTAATATTGGCCGAACAGGTTACTTACACATCTAAATTTTCATCCAACCTAATCATTAGTATTGTATCCGTGTCTAATATTGTTTCCGTTTCCCTCTCCAGTTCCATCTCCCGTTGGTTTCTCTCTTTCTTTTTCCTCTTTCCCCACGGTAGATTGGGCTCCCTACGTTGGGTTCTAGGAAGGTG